AGGCTGCTTCTGCAGTAAAGAGTAGTAAAATTATTAACTTGTAATTTTTATTTCCAGACCGACTTGTATTCAGTTGTTTTTTAGTTGTAAAAGGATTACTGTGCAATCTGGGTTCACTATCGCAAGAGTTCCGACTGTTAAAATTTGACAGGCCAAAAAACAGGTAGTGTCAGAGCAAAAGCATTTTTGAGCGGACAACGTGACTGGCAACTGCCCATTAGTTATTTGCAGCCTTGAATGATGTTTAAAGAAAAGAAAGTGCATGGCCTTAAATTTTGCCATGCTTTAATATTCCAAATGTAATAGTTTCAAACTAACAGTACAAGACATTGTTAGCACACTTGAAAGTGACTGCATGATGATTGTTAAGTACTTTTTCAACAACCATTTTTGTTACTTAACTGAACAGCCCCGTGACAAGTACGAAAAACAGCCAGAATTCATTGCAGCAAATGCTGGCAAACTGCATGACTACCAACTGGAGGGATTGAACTGGTTACGGTTTTCCTGGGCACAGGGCACTAACACTATCCTGGCAGATGAGATGGGTCTTGGTAAAACTATTCAGACTATTGCATTCTTGTACACGATCTGGAAAGAGGTAAGTTCATTTACCTTTGAATAATCATACTTGTTGTACTTAATGCTTGTAATTGGTGGTTTACTTGTTTCAAACTACTTCAGGCAGGTCTAACTTCAAGTCTGCACAGTCAAGATTATAGTAGACAGGCTGCCCTGATGACTAAGCCACTAGACTACATCTTAAAAAGCTCAGGGTTTGAGCCATGCTGTGGTTGTTGCATGGTGTTCCTGTACAATTCACTTTCACATAGCCCTGCACATAGCGTGGGCTTTAACTTATACCTCTTGGCCCTCTTGGTCAGCAGGCTGACCTTATAGCCATTAAATCTTCCAACCCATATTATATACAGATTTAAGGTTGGAATCCTGTCATGTTTTTACTGAACTAGCCACAGCCTTGCACTTCACTGGAAGACTTATATTCCTAAACAATAAAATTGATTAATCTGTTACTACTATACATTTCTCTTTGATCTCTTCTTAGGGTCACTCGCCAGGTCCATTTTTGATCAGTGCTCCCTTGTCTACCATTATCAACTGGGAAAGAGAGTTTGAATTTTGGGCTCCTGATATGTATTGTGTAACCTATGCTGGTGATAAAGTCTGCAGAGCAACAATCAGGTTGATGCAAGTTTATCAATGAAATTATAAATATCATCTTTTTTTACAAAGAATTGTCGAAGTAGAAAAACAAGTCCATAAATGGTAGAATCTGTTTGGTAGAGATAAAAGATGGGAAGGTTTGAGAAGTTAGGACTAACATTTGTTTCCCTTGAAGAGAGATGTTCCACAATTTGGGTACCATTGTGGTACCAGTAACATCTTGCCCTACAGATGTCATGCAACAAGTGTGTAAAAATAAAATTGGATTTTAAGTAGTTTTTCATTTGTAAACTGTGCAAGGTCCTTAGTTGCCTGAATATTGTTGATTGAGGTGTTGAATTTTTGACAGGAATCATGATTTTTCATTTGATGAAGATGCTGTTAAGACAGGACTGAAACCACATAAATTAAAGGTTTGTGTTGGGCCCCATAGTAATCACAACTGTCTTCTCCACTTAAAACCTCTGATTTATTTAAAGAGAACTACTGTCTCTCCCTTGAGGTTTACTCTTCAGTTCCTTGAAATAGGAAAATCTAAGACGATATGTTATGTTTTGTCTACAGAAAGATCATCCAGTGAAGTTTCAAGTGGTATTGACGTCTTATGAACTGGTTTCCATTGATATGACTACACTGCAGTCCATTGACTGGGCTGTGTTAGTGGTGGATGAGGCTCACCGACTGAAGAATAAGCAGTCTAAGGTAAGACCACTAATAACATGCGGAACTCTTATGTTTTTAGTCAGATAACTATAATTTACCATGCAATTTAATGGGCAGCAAGGTACTAAAAGAATCTTGGTGAGGCTTATATCATATAATTGTCAACCTGTACTACAGCTGTATCTCCCATAATGATTTGTTCATGACAAGACTCCTTACAAATCCCAGTTTTACAACAGGAAGCACTACTCATTCAGTTGCACAGCCCTGTTCTAGCTAAATATGGATCTGGCTACCACTCAATGCCGATGCTCTTTCCTCTCATCACCATAACCAAGAATTGTGCAAACACTCAAGGCATTGCTATTTGTTATTTCCATGTACCTTTTGTTTAGGTATCACTGACTGTAAGTTTGACCTTCACCACTCTTGTGCCATCCAAAAGCTTTTATTCCTAAAACCAGCCATTACCTCTTAAGCTTGCAATAAATGACTGATGTTTATCTATTTTTTTTTCCAGTTTTTCAAGATTCTGAGTGAGTACTCTATTGATTACAAGCTGCTTCTAACAGGCACACCTCTGCAGAACAACTTAGAAGAACTATGGAACCTTCTTAACTTCTTGGATCCAAAGGAATTCAGGTATACACCACTTTAAACTCTGCCTCAAAGAGTTGTATCCCTAGTTATACCACTCATGCTATTGAAAGTGTTATATTTTAATCAATTATTGAAGTGAATTACAGTTTCTTGTATTCTTGACATGCTAAAATTAATCTTAATGGTTGAATCTTTTTAATTTTTTTCTATCTTTTTTGTTGTTTTAAGTATTTTGCTTGTAATCTCTCTTCTTTAGGAACCAGAACACTTTCCTGACAGAGTTTGAAGATGTAGCTAAAGAAGACCAGATCAAGAAGCTCCATGATATTCTAGGCCCTCACATGTTGAGACGTCTGAAGGCAGATGTCTTGAAGGGAATTCCCTCCAAGAGTGAGCTCATCGTCAGGGTAGAACTGAGCCCTGTGCAAAAGTAAGTTAAGTGTGATATGATTTTATATTGTGGTGATCATAGCATTAACTTACAACTTCAGATCAAGAATTTATTTGTATGAAAGTGCAAGTTCTTCCTCTTTTTTTTCTTTTTTTTTTCGTCCAATGAAGGTTTTTGATTCCTTTTTTTTTCTTTTTTCCATTTTTCTTTGTAATTTAGACAGGTAACAATTTGAAATACATGTATATGTTCTGTTTTGTTTTTTTTTTTAATAGGAAATACTACAAGTATATTTTAACAAGAAACTTTGAAGCTCTCAATACTAAAGGCTCTCACCAGGTGTCTCTGTTGAATGTGATGATGGAGCTAAAGAAATGCTGCAACCATCCATATATGTTTTCTTCTGCTGCATTGGTATGTTCCTTCACCATGTGTAGAGAGACAACTGAAACTTTCATGGATGTAAATAAAAGTGGAAAACAGCTGCTAAGTTACCTGTTAGGTGTTACACTTGTCAGAGCTGTCAATAGGAGCCATAACCCATAAAAACTGTTTTGGCTGAGCTCACCTAATGTTGCAAGTGAAGATGTCAATTGCTGATTGTTGATTTTCTTGTTAATTAGGAAGCCCCTCGTGGAGCTAGTGGTAACTTTGATGCTGCAGCACTGACACGTGCCTCTGGCAAACTGGTGCTGTTGGAAAAGATGTTGAAGAAATTACAACAAGAAGGACACAGGGTTCTTATCTTTTCACAGGTGGGAATAAGAGATTGTCATCTTTGACAAGTTTTCAAATATTAGGATTTTCTGGTTCAAATCAGAGATAATGTCCATTCGGTAGTATGTAGTGCCCCTTTACCCATGCAGCTCAGAGTTAACTATATACACCATGCAAAGGTATTTTTACTGTTTCATTTCACTCGAGGGAGTGATTTCAAGTTAGTTTCTAAAGTATTCTGCCCTGGATTGCATTGGTATTGGATCTCTTCACTCTGAATGATCTAGATTTTCCAGGCTGACCTGGATATTGGTGTTTTCTGCATTTCATTCAGTTCACATGCATTTACCTGAGTCCTTGCTGGCTTCTTGTGAGATTTGCCTCTATTCTGATTGGCTTTTGTGACTACTTTGGCTTTGACTTGACTACTTGATTAAAAATTTTCAAGACAAATTTTGAAATAATTTTTTGTACACAGATGACAAGAATGCTTGATCTCTTGGAAGATTTCCTCGAGGGACATGGCTATAAATATGAGAGAATTGATGGAACGGTGAACGGATCAGCAAGACAGGAGTGTATTGACAGGTTTAACGGTGAGCTTGAAAATCTTTCAGCCTACTTCTTACTTTGTGTAACGTGATTTATCTTTCTCTTTACAGAGAGAGAGCGAGAGAGAGAGAGAGCGAGCGAGAGAGAGAGCGAGAGAGAGCGCGAGAGAGAGCGTGCGCGAGAGAGAGCGCACGAGAGAGAGAGCGCGCGCAAGAGAGAGAGCGCGAGAGAGAAAGCGCGAGAGAGAGAGAGAGTGCGTGAGAGAGAGAGAGCGCGCGCGAGAGAGAGAGAGAGAGAGAGAGAGCGAGAGAGAGAGCGAGAGAGAGAGCAAGAGAGAGAGCAAGAGAGAGAGCGCGGTTGGAAACTAAAAGTGCACAATTTACAATACAAAAACAGTACTTACATGTAATTGCAGAACTACTGCAAGTGACTTTGAAAAGTTGTTTTACTAACTTCTCTGCAGATGCCAACAACTATTAATACCCTCTGCTCGCAAGAAAAGCACAAACTATGATGCCTGTTGTGCAGCTTGGCTCCAGAGAAGTGCTGAAGCCAGAAGCTTCTCACGATATTATATTTCTTTGTTTATGTTTTATTTCGTTTAGCTCCTGGTGCTCAGACATTCTGTTTCCTGCTCTCTACTCGGGCTGGAGGCCTTGGTATCAATCTGGCAACAGCTGACACTGTGTTCATTTATGACTCCGACTGGAATCCTCATAATGATATTCAGGTTTGTACTCAGACGAGATTTATGGCCGAGGCCCTCTTTAGTTAAACTCTTTGCGTGAAGAAAAGCTAAGACAGGCATGTGGTTTCTCATTTTTTTGTTGGTTACCTCGCCGTGTTGTTTTGGTTCCTCTTTTTACTGTTGGTTACCTCACTGTGTTTTTTTTGGTTCCTCTTTTTATCAGGCATTCAGCAGAGCTCATAGAATTGGTCAGAACAATAAGGTACATTTTACACTCGATAATGTGTATAAAAGTTTACCGGTCTGTTACTTGAGAGAAAGCCTTCTGAAAGCAATGCAAAAAATTTAAAATGAAATGGTCCTAGTGAAGTGTTTTTCAAATATGTGGTAAGAGCTCGTTTGCGACATTTCAGCAAAGCAATACTTTTGATCACTGTGTAGAATTCGCATCACTGCAAACGTTCTTTGACTTTGCGAACAGTTTTCAAGCTCATGGTCTGACAATTCATTTAGTTTTCTTTGTTGATTAGAATCGAAACTACTCAATGGTCGTCGAAAAATTTAGGTACCGTTGATAAACAATAAGTTGAGTAAATGTCTCTTGCCTTTCTTATAAGAAAAGCACTTGAAATATATAAATGGGGTGAGTTTCTAAAGAATTGTAGTGCTGCGTCGGAGGGGATAACAGGGTAGTTTGGTTTTATCAACTGGGTTGATAATTTAAATTGGCCACCGTAAAGAGCGTTAGCCCTTCGTCAGAGCGACGTCGAGAGGCCAACGCTCGAAACGTCAGTTTACACTCAAAAATAAATATATATTTTTTTCTTCTTCTTTGCTTACGTTTTATCAACTGTTTTCTCCCTCTTCCCCTAGGTTATGATTTATCGTTTTGTCACGAGAGCCAGTGTCGAGGAACGTATTACTCAGGTAACATTTTTGTGGGGGATAAACTGGAGAAATATGTTAAACATTTCGGGTTCGGGACTAAGTTGTAGCTGAGAGTTTATTGGACTAAGATTGTTCCATATTTTTTTGAAGCCTTAGTCAAACAGATAAAAACGTTTCGCTTAAGTTGATTTCTCAACTTTTCATAGAGAAGTACAAGTGCTGCATGGGATAACAAGTAAACCAAAATGAAACATTGTGTCCACCTTTTTCCCACTGAAGTGTGGAAAGGTGCACCATTTCTCTTGGCCTTAACAACTAAACCTTGGATGTATAAATTACTTGCCAGGTTGCCAAGAAGAAAATGATGTTGACGCATCTGGTAGTGAGACCTGGCTTAGGATCAAACAAAGCTGCAGTGATGTCCAAGACCGAACTTAACGACATTCTTAAGTTTGGTACACAAGAGCTCTTTAAAGATGATAATGCTAAGGATGGAGGTGAGACTTGTGTATTTGACACTCCAAATTTATAGCTAAAATACCTTTATGGGAGTGGGGTAAAATTAATTGCAAGCAAAATTGTTGGAAATTAAGGTTGAGAGTAATTCCCTTCCGTCCTATTTGGAAACCTTCAGCTCTCTTGACTGAATTTTGTAAGCTTCCTTGAAACTTTTAACGATCTCGAGCACTAGAATTACCTATCTCTCCCGAGATGTTACTAGTTTGCGAATTTACTGTGAGAATGATTTCATATCTCCTGGTTGGGAAAATTGTTGTTGTTTTTTGAAGGATTGTCATTTATAACATTATGTCCTTAACAAATTTTGAAATTATAAGGAGAAGATACAGTTTTTAACTCTGGGAGTGAATGAATTTACTTTGAAATAGCTAGTTACCTTTTAATGGCTATTTGGTAAACAAATTTAAAACGCTTTTGTTTAGACTCAGGTGACGCAGGACGTATAGACTATGAAGAGAAAGCCGTTCTTTCACTGCTGGATCGAACCAGCAGTCATGGATCGGAGGCACCGCCTGATGAAGACAAAGACATGGCTAATGAATACCTTGCTTCATTTAAGGTAATGGGGGGAGTCGAGGTGTTCAGAAAATATGTTACTTTCATTTATCTGATTGTTTATTTTAACAGTCCATTATTTTTTAATGTGAACTTGAATGCGTGTATAGGAAGGAAAAGAAAGTTGATTAGGGTTAATGTAGCCGGAGAGAGCGTTATATCTGGCAATCTAAGGATAGAAAGACTAGAGGTTGGGTATAATAATGCTCCACGATTCATTGATTAGCTTTATTTGAGCTTACCATGATCAGTCTGAGCAATCTGTCTTTTTCGATTTGCCAAACTACCTTACAGCTAATTCAATTCTAGCAATACTATTTAACTAATCCATCATTTGTTTTTCGGCCATCTTTTTTTTATGATAAATAACATGCCTGATATAATGAATATATGAAGTTCATATATTTTGAACTGCGGTATTAAATACGTATGATGCACGATCCTTCGCAGTAGATAGCGCTCTTTATGCAATAGCGAAAATCAGACCTGAAAAACTGAATATATGAATATATGAACTTCATATATTCATTATATCTGATTTATCATCACGGGTTTGTTACGAATCAACTTAACGGCCTGCTCCCAGTTGGCTTGTTAGCTCAATTGGTAGAGCGCTGCACTAGTATCGCAGAGGTCAGTGGTTCGAATCCCGTACAGGCCTGATTTTTTTCAGGTCTGATTTTCGCTATTGCATAAATAGCGCTATCTACTGCGAAGGATCGTGCATCATACGCAAATAACATGCCTGTAACTTAAGAGTTAATTGTTACGCATGTCAATTGAGAAAGAGCAAGATAACAGTAATTACTTGGTGTTTTCTTGTGAGGACTTCTCTAGCTCCAAGTGTTTGTATCCATACCTCCATGATTACAAACTCACAGCTCTGACATGCGACATAAAAAAAAGAAGTTGCCAGGGCCTGTAGCCTTAGCATTAGACTATCAGGGTAGTATATCACTTCCACACTACTGTAGAATAAATATTATACAGGTAATTTGCATGGTTCTATTATTTTGTAGTGTCTTTTCGAGTTAAATAGATACTTCGTTGAAACGTGCAAATATAAACAAAAGCAGTGAACCGGCATGGCCTGCAGCCTTACTGTTAGACTGTGTGGTAGTATATGTTCACATAGTTTCTAGTCAGCAGCCCCCTGCTCATTTTTCAATAATCAGTAATGATAAAGATTCTTACCTTGACTCTTGCTGGGCTTTTCGATTGAGTGTCGCAAAACCAAAACCAAAGAACAACGGCCAATCAGATGAAAGGAATATACCTTTAAGAGCCAATGAAAATCATAGTTAAAACAACCAAACCGCCTAAAGCGCGGGAAAACGCCGGCGACCAAGTCGTGGTTGGTTTTAGTTTTGCTTCTGATTGGTTGAGAGAGTGGCGCAAGTTTTTTTTTTTTTTTGATCAATCACAGAGGAAAGTATAGCAGAACCAAAGCAATCTCGGATTACTTTCGACACTCAACTGTAAAATGCTCTGATATAAATACATCAAAAGTAATTCAACAACGAGAAATAAGAGCATCATTATTCTATTACTAACATTTAAGAACTGTTAACCAGTTTTATTCATGGCCTCACATCATAAGATTTTGGTAGATTAAGTCTTAAGGGTTATTTAATATTCCCAAATGTTCCTACTTTGTGAACCTTGAAATAAGTTCTAAATTTGTTTTTCTTTAGGTGGCAAGTTATGTCGTGAAGCAAAAGGACGAAGATGTCGAAGTTCTTAAGGTACGACGTTATTTCTTGACACTTTTTTAAGAACAACTTGTTGAAAATGTTCTTTTCATGCCATTCGTCAAATACATGGCTACAGCATTTAGTTGTTGTCGTGTTGTTTAGTAAGACTACCTCGAATGGAAAATGTTTTAGGTTTTTTCTATGTAGTTTCAGTTAAATTTATCTTATAATGGGCGGGATAGATTGGCCTTCTGTTAAACTAAAAGAAATATCCGTGAAATCTAGAACCGCTGTTTTTGTTGTTGTTGTTGTTGTGGTTGTTGTTGTTGTTGTCTTTGTGTGTTTGTTTGTTTGTTTTGCTACTTTAAAGTACGATTGGAAAGGAAACACTAAGCTTTGTAATCGTGTATGTTGACAATGTTTGTTAACAGCAAGATGCAGAGGCTGCCGACCCTGATTACTGGGAAAAACTCCTGCGCCACCACTATGAACAGTTCCAAGAAGATGAGGCAAGGCATCTTGGGAAGGGAAAGAGGATAAGAAAACAGGTAGGGTTATATAAAATGTAGTCCACGCAGGGTTGTTACCTAGTGCGTCTCATCTTGTAGTTTATTTTAAGATCGACCAGAGGCTAATTTCTCCTTGCATGCTGTTTCAATCCCGAGTCAAATATTAAGGTCGCAAGACCTTAATATAATTAATATAAAATATAATGAATATAAAAAATATACGGTGGCCATATAACGGAGCTTTTGACGGTTAAGAAAAAAAAATATTTTTGTCAGTACTGAAGGAAATATATAGAGAATAACGTGGAAAGTGTGCACTGTAACAGCGAAAGCGTTGTCATTTCAACTTAGAACTTTTATGTACACAGCTAACACAAAGCAGCAGTAGGTTGAAACTAAAAGTATAAGTAAAAGTTAAGTTGAGATAAACAAATTACAAACAAGAATTAATACAAACGAAGCGGAACGGAAAAATACTACGTTGATAACGCCTTATATCTAACTGCAATAGCGAATAACTTTTAAGTTGAAGAAGACTTTTAGGCAGTGAACTGCGCCAAGTGCGACTTTCAGGAAACTGACTTTATAAAGTGAGTATGCGCAAAAGGAACTGGCTTTAAATACGTACAGTATGAGAAACGTGCAAAAAAGGTGTAACTGATGAAGAAAAACGTCAACAAGCTTAACAAAAAACACTAACGAGGAGGTATGAAAAAATAAAGGCGGAAGTCAATAAGTTAAAAATTACACAATAAAAAATTAGCAAGCGTGAGGGTGCAAATGGTAATCTCTTGGACTCTTTCTTTCCAAGGTCAGTTATGTCGATGGAGGCATGGAAGATCAAGAGGAGTCAGGTATACTTGTGGTGTATCTTTTCTGGCTCGAGCTCATTTTTATGCTGAAATGAAATGTGCACCATGAAACGCTCAGTTATCGTGATAATTTTGAGGTAGATTTTATCTGCCCTTTTTTCCTGGCTTGTTATCCATGTGAATTTTCTTTTTTTAGCTTGGACCAACAATCTTTCAGACTACGACGATGGGGAATACAGCGACGTCGAAGAGGAAGAATCAGATGAGGAATTCAGCCAAAAATCTGAAGGTAACGATTATTCTCAAATATACATATCTTTTTTCTTTTGTTTTTGTTTGTTTGTTTGTTTGTTTGTTTGTTTTCTTTGCCGGCTGAAGTTTTCCTCGGTATTGTCCACTTTAGGTCGCCAGCGAAGAGCCGCCCGCGGTGCCTCAGACAAAGATGTCACTCCACCTCTCTTGGCCAAGGTTCAAGGAAACCTAGAGGTACAGGAGACTTTGAATGAGTTGGGGTTTGGAATTCAGTCCATCCGCTCAATTGTATTTGAATCAGCTTTCTCAGCAAATATTCCTAATGCATTTTAAGAATGGAGTTGAAATTGATTTTTATGTATTGCTGAGCGAACGTCAACTCTTCGTTAGAATCATGAATGTTAAACGATTGAACGTTTGAGTTAACAGTACAACGATGAACAAACACATCTTTTACTCAATTAAAATGTTTTTGATGTTCCAATTTATTTTGTAAAATGTGTTTTATAGCCAGAGATTTGCTAGCTTCCGAAATTCTGGGCATCTGCAAAATTTTCCTTAAAAAAATTGTAAACTGCTCAGTGCAGTCTGGCAACCCCCCCGCCCCGCAAAGTGTTGCAAAACGTATTAGAACATATTACTATGGAGAATGCGCTATGTAAATGCATCATTATCATCATTACCATTATCATATTTGGTTTTAGGTGTATGGCTTCAATTTACGTCAGCGAAAGGCATTCCTGAATGCTATCATGAGATATGGTTTGCCTTCTCCCAAAGGTTCTCCAAGGTCCCAGTGGTGAGACTAACTTAATCTTGTTGTATTAAACCTTGTTTACATCTTATCTTGTTCTCTAACACTAGAACCCGATTATTATTGACAGTCGGTGTTAGTTAAGCCTTCTTTACACTTTTGCCACTGAACTTTATTTAGAGTGAGTCTCATACTTTATAGATGAAGGTTCAGGAGACCCACAGGATCCATCCGTGAATTTGATTCTCTGATTCATCAATGTCATTTTTAGATTCTCAAACCTACGCCAATTAATGAATAACCCTTAACACCCAAACATTAATATGCAAGTTCTCAATACTGTGCTCCACACATTTCCTCTGATGCTTACAAGGATTTCAAACAATCAAGAGCTTCTTGAGTACGCGATCATTTCCTTCATTCTCATGACGTCAATGTTTGATTTAGGGTTGATGCTGTTGGGAGAAATTAGCTGTTTATCTCTCTTAGGGGCGATGGGGTTGAGGTTCATCTCTCTCGTTCTTTTTAAGGTTTGCGAGGGATCTCCGCGGAAAATCGGATAAAGCTTTTCAGTGAGTATTACCCATCCTTTAATAAAACAGTCATCCTCGCGACATGGGATGTCTGTTTATGGCCACTAATCTTTCCGAAAGAGTTTTTGACATGAGTGTGTGTAATAGATGCCTAATATTTGTTATGATTTCTCGAGCTGCAGGGCGTACGTTTCAATGTTTCTGCGCCACTTGTGTGAGCCGGGCACAGACAACAGAGAGACGTTTAACGATGGAGTACCCCGTGAAGGACTACAAAGGACACAAGTGCTGACCAGAATTGGTATCATGAGCTTGATAAGGAAGAAGGTATTTACTACATCAGTGTCAGTGTCAGTGACAACAACTGCCATGCTGGGGCATAATTACTGTTCGTAACGCAGTAACCTAACCTAGATATAAAGGTCTCTCTGTGTCTTACCAAGTGTGGTCAGTGAGAATTGTTCACTTTTATGGAAAAAAAAGGGAAGTTTTATTAGAAGTTCGATATTTAACAAATGGTAAACACCACAGCGTACACTATTGAGTTATGGATGCACTTGGCAGGTTTGCTAAGCACTCAAGAAGCTAGAGTCGCCCTCGGCTATCGCCTAGAACGACTCTTACGCTTCTTTTGTGGTGTTTACCATTTGTTTTATAACAGAACATTGATACATTGTAGCTAAAGAGTTCCTTTTTATTTAAGGTGGCTCGTACCAGTTTCCTCACGCGGGGAACAGGTCACTCTTGCGTGACGCGCGCGAGAAAAACGTGCGAAAGAAGCGCGAGATCAAAAGATGAAAATTCAAAACAAAGATGGCGGCGCGGGGAATTTTTTCTACTTTTCTGAGAAGTTTACCTAAGAGCTTGTATTTGATGTGTTGAGCGGCTACTGTGAATGCAGGAGATAGAAACTAAGATAAAGAAGACGATTTTTGGAGAAGTAAAGGTTGCTTCACTTCACATTTAAAAGAAATATTCAACCGATATGAAATCTTGCGACGGCGAAAAAAGAAGAACTCAAGTGAAGGATAATCTACCTGAAGTGGAAGAAGACTTTGAAACTTAAAGGAAAATAATATGATATAGCCAGAAGTCGTGTGTAGGATTTTTAAGATGTC